TTGGAGGTTGCTGTGAGCTGTGATGCCACAGCACTCTACCCAGGGGGACAGCTTGAGGCTCTGTCTCAAAAAAGAAAGAAATTAGGGAAAATTGCCTTAAATAAAAAATAAAGACACAGTTCCACCAGTTCTACAGTTCCACCAAAATCAAAACAGATATTAGGTCCCTTGAATCTCTACCAATTGGTTTCAGAATCGCCTAGGGTAAAACCACATGATAAAATTTGTAAAGGTGGCATTTTGCTAATTCTCAAATCTTCACCAAAGTTTATAATATATACTAAACATCAGAGGAATATATCCAATCAAAGAAAATAATCAGAGGTCAAACACAAAAAACTGGAGATGTATAAGTTACCTGAAAAAGTTAATATTAACCATTTGAATGATGTTCAGTGAGTGAAACTGGAATACTGACAACTTAATGAAATCAGCAAATTAAGAATATTTACCAAAAAAAAAAGCACAGAATAAAACAAACTATTTAGCTGAAAAATATAAGGACTGAAAAATTGTAGATGTTAGAAAAAAGACATTATAAAATCGAGAAGCTCAAACACTCATAATTGTGCTATAAAATTTCAAAATAAAAACATAATACTATAGCTCTGTTATTGGGTATGAAATAGAATAAGATATAACTGGTGATGTCAGTAACAATATGTTGAGGGCATATAGAATAAGGAAAGATTTTTATATGCTGCTAAAGTTATGTTGTTACTAGTTTAAAATATATTGTTGTAATTATAAGTAGTACTATGCAATTCCCATGGTCACTACAATGAAAATACTTTTAAAGATACACTAAAATAATAAGATGTGAAATCCTGTCACTATAAACATCAATGACACAAAGGAAGACAAAGAGAGGGGCAAAATAGCTACAAGAATAAAAAAAAAAGCAATTAATAAAGTGATAATAGTCTCTTTTCAAAAATTACATGAATCATCATGAACTACACTTCACAATCAGAACACAAATTATATAAAAATTTAAGAACATTTAAAAGAAAAGATCCAATATACTGTTTCCAAGAGACTCACATTAGATCTAATGACAACAGAAAGGTGGCAGGACAGAAAAACTCAGCCTATGCAAATATTAATCATACTAGAGCAAAGAGGGTCACAATTAGAGACAATATATTCTGAGACAAAATCTGCCCTATTTCATAGAATATAATTTAAGTTAGAACTGTTATAAAAGACAAAAAGGGGCTCGGCTCCTATAGCTCAAC